TGAATCCATTTGATAAAAAGTGTCCATGAAACAAGATGGATTGATGACATCAGCAAGTATTGCGGCTCCAATTGGTCCCCTGTAATGTTTCCCGCTATTTTTTCACCTGGAAGTTTTGGTCATTCTGTTATTAATCTCTCCAGGGCTATACAAGATGTATTCTTCTGGTTGACCATTTTCTTTTTTTTAAATTTGTAACTCATCCAAAATTGTTGGGAAGCTTTGAAATTTGAATAAAATCAAAGAAGAAAAACAATGTCTGAAGTTTAGGTCTTTCTCCCACCCACCCCCCTTTCTATTTAGGTTCTGATGTCTCTGCATGAAATGTTTCCTGCAGTCCAGGCAGCAGAAATGGCTGTGCAGAGAGATTCCCATTCTTGGGAAGCATGGCAAACGCTGGGGCGGGCCCAGCTTGGATTAGGAGAAATCACATTGGTAAGTATAAACACAGAATTGGCTAGTACTTTTGACAGCTATTTATACACCTGTGAAAAAAACATTGCTTCAGGAACTTACAGAAATTTCTGTAAAGAGGAGAGAGTCAGAGGTAATTAATTATTTCATAGGCACAGTGACAACCATGGGCTTGTTACAGATCTTCAGGGATCTGTCTTACATAGGGTGCAGGTATCTGCCAGGTATCTGGTTTTTATCTTAAAGCCAGGTGAATTGTGACCTGTAAGTGCAGTATATTGCCAGTCTTGTTGCAGTCAGACCAGTCTAGTATCTGGAGCTTTCTGTCCCACTGCTTTCCACAGAGAGGAAAGACTTATACTGGTCCTCCCCAGGTACCTGATGTGGCCAGCTGGTTTTCATAGAGCATTTATGATTTTCCCAATGGACTAGCAAGTAGCTTGGTTGAGTACCTGGTCAAATTCTGGAATGCAAGACCAAAAAGAATATGTGAAAAGATTTCTACTGAATAACCTCCTGCTCCAGTGTGGTTTAGAGTTTCTCATCCTGGTTATAGCGAATGGGTTTCTAATTCTGGAAGAATGTTGATTGACCACTCTGATGAGTAGAGTAGAATTAGAATTAGGAATAGGAATACAACAGGTAGGCCCCGGTATGGGCGTACTGGTGCCTGCCAGGAGCACTGGGTACCATTCCGGTATGGTGCTCCAGAGGGCCCACCTGCCCGCCTGCAGTCCTTACCTGTATTTGAGCTCTTTGGGGCTTCCACACATGTGCATGGAGCATATGGTGCCTGCGCAATGCTCCACCAAGCAGCTGGAGCGTCATGGAGACATCGTGGAGCATCACAGGAGGTAAGGACACATGTGCGCGCTGCACACATGTGCGCGTTCATGTGGAGGACGCCAGGCCCCATTGTACCATACCAATTGCAATGGNTAGTAAAAACTGTTATATATAGAATATATAGAATATTATATATAGAATGAAAACAAATGTATGAAATAATGTAAATGCACAAATATATGTAGTTATAAAAGATTTATTTGTATAGATAAAACTGACACAACAGATAGGTAAAAAAATGTAGTGTGTTGCAAAGATGTGAAGTTTGTACAAACAAAATAAAATTAATTATTAATTTAAAAAAAGAAAACTAGTTTTCCCATTGTACTATGGCACATGTGCCAGAGGTGACACGCAGAGCCCTCTCTGTGGGCACATGCACCGTTGCCAGCTGTTGTTCTGGTTTCCGGCCAGCTGGTCTGTTTGAGCACCGGAGCCAGAAAATGGCTGGAAAATGTCCCCCAAATGGCCAAAAAACAGGCAACATGCGCTGGCCAGTGCTCATGCATATGCTGGAAACCCAAAGACCATCTGGCCAGTGCGCACTCCAGCACACATGCAGATGTGTTCCAGATTGATCACTCGGTGCCGAAAAGGTTCCCCATCACTGCACTATGGGATAGCCTCAGTTAATTGAGTATATTTAATGAATGTACTTTCACATAAGCCCACAGAAACATGGAGACGAAGCTGATAGCACTTTGGCCTGTTAGCGTATATGAGAGTCAGTGGGAGGCCTCTGTATAGTGTATTCAGCTTTTATTTTCTTCTATTAGATGGCTGCCAATTTATATGGAAACCTATTTTCTGCCTGTCCTGTATATATAATAGGCCTTCTCCCTTTTATGGTGATAATGATTCCTGATACTGAAAATAAAAATATTCAAAGTCCTATTCAATCATTTCTGGAAAAGCTAGAAATAGTTTTCCATTTCTGCAGCTATTAATAATTCAGATAGTTCTAAAGAATAGCCTTCTCTAATCTGGTTAACTAAATCTTCCACAATTTTGACCGTGGTCGAAATGACGTGCATCATCAGATTGGAAAAAATCATCTTACAGAGTAGCACCTCACCTTATTTCCAGGAATTATTGTGGTTCTTCTGATTAGTTTTTGCTAATACTGTAGAAACATACAGTGTGAAATAACTTCCTGAAGTATACCATCTTCTCCTGGTCATGAAGAGGTGGATTACAAGGCTATCCAAGATTGCATGGAATCCTCCTCATTATTTTTGTGCGCTCAGGAGCTGTTTCTGATTCCAGTTGTCAAAAATGAATTGTAGAGGGTCCTGCCATTGTGACACAAGATATATATGGAAACTCTTAACATATGCCCTAAAATAGTTGGGCATATTTTTGCCCAAATCAACAACCACACAAACTCTTCACAAAAAGATTAAGAAAAGATAAACCAGGGATGGCTAATCTTTTTGTCGTAGCATGCCCACACCCATAATGCAATACATGTGTGACACACCCTGTGTGCCCCATCCCCCTGTGCATGCACGCGCTCACCATGCCCCTCCATACATGTGCAAGCCACACACACACATACACACATCCTGTTTTTGGGCATAGCAGGCCTCCCTGAAGCCACCTGGTACCAAAAATGGGGTGTGGAAGATTGCGCTGCCCCCATGCTCCCCACCCCCACACATGCATTCATGACCCACCCCCACGCATGCATGCGCATCTCCCACATGCGCCCCTCCCCCCACATGCATGGCAGAGACCCGAAAATCAGCTTGC